GTAAAGAAAGCCTCTCTTGCATGTTTTAGTGTTGTGTGATAGTTACGTTGTCTTTCTTTATAGATGCCACAATAAACGTGCAGTTGAGCTTTTCCCCATTTCTGTTCGACCCCAGACTGTTCCTGGATTGTTGGCGGACGTTTGGTTCTGACTCTCTGGTTCTGGGCTGACGTGGGAGAAAGCCCAGTCCTCTGGAGGGGAACTGACCACACCGGACCAGGCCGGACCAGAACCAGGACGTTTCCGTGTAGGAGGTGATCCCAGGCAGGATTCATGGCAGCTGCTCTGCAGACGTTTCAGAGCATCAGGAGTTCTCATCAGAGAAATCATCTCTGCTCCAGTCTGAGAACCAGAACCGGTCCTGGAGGCAGTTTGGACCCAAATCATGCTACAGAAGAACATCATCAGAACCTGATTCACCTGACATGAAGTCAGCTGATCATCTGAGGAACCAGTGGAGATGATTCATCACAAACTAACAGCGTTCGTCAGTTTAACACCTGGATGCACATCTGGGCCACATCTGCTGCGCCTGTCGGCGTTCTGGACCCGAGGCGCCGAGCTGCAGGACGCGTCGCTCCAACACCGCTCTTCCACGTTCAGGGCCAATCAGGACTCAGGATTTAAAGATGCTTCTTATTGTTGCTGTTGTTTCTGAAAGCTTAAGAGGAAATCAGGACCAAACGAGACCCAGATGAGCTCAGGCCGATGACGCCTCCGCTCTGTGGGAAACTGTTTATATTTTGCTTTTTCACACGTTTAGGTCATCAAACAAGTTTTATTACCCGATAAAAAGTTAAAGAAAGTCGTTTTAAGCAGATTTAGCTTGAGACCTGCTCAGCCTGATGGCGACGGCGCTGCAGTAACGAGGCCTTGGAGGTGGTTTAATGTTTCAGGACGATGGGTGACCTCGTGACCTCTGGCACACTTCCTTAGCCTGACTCTGAATCCAATCAGGAAGTCAGTCCCGTTCAGTCCTGGACCGATCCGAAGCTCTCAGGTGAAACTGGTTCCAAAAACACAGAGCAGAAAACTGAAGTTCCAAATTCAAGTTTTACTAAAAGTAAAAATACAATGAATCGTCTGCTGCGTGAGAACAAGGAGGAGGAGGAGGAGGAGGAGGAGGAAGTCCTAATATGTCCTCAGAAATACAAGCTTTCCAATAACTGGGCCACCTGGTGGAGGGGCGGGGCGACGCCACCTGGCGGCGGAGCGACGCGACTGTCTGCTCGTCCTGCTTCGTGTTGCCACTCGGATCCCCAACAACAAAAACTATTGAGGAAGTTTAATTAATGAATATCAGTTTCAGAAACTCAAACAATTTTTTTTCCAGAAATTTGATTAATTAAACTTAAAACTGAAGCAATTTATGACCTTATGAAGATATTTAAAGTGTGATACTTATTATTATTCCCTTGGTTTGTGGTCCAGATTAACCCCAACATATAAACAACGTTTTGCTACAATCTGCTTTGCCTTGAGAGCGGCCTTCCATCTGAGCCGAGTTTAGAAAGTTTATAAATATAATAAAATGTTTTATTCAGAACATAATCAGAAAATCTCAGGCAGCGTTTCCTGAGCTTCAGCTTCACTTCGTATTCAGGTGCAGCTTCCAGCGTCTGAACGTCCAGATGGTTTCACCGCCGCAGGAAATGAAGAGGCAGCCTTCATCCTGCTCCTCTTCCTCACAGCCTCCATTCTCCTCTTCCTCACTGGACCTGTGGCTGGTTCACAGGACTTTGACTAGGCAGGAAGTTGAACCTCAGGAAGTTCAGAGGTGACGATTCGTCTCGATCCAGAATCAGTAAACCTGAAGCTGGAAGCTTCGGTTCTTCTTCCTGTTTGCACTATTAAAAATGGAAACATAAATCCGTTGAACTCATCCTGAGGAAACCAAAGTTCACTCAGGGATTTTAGGGAAAATAAAAACATTTAGTGACGGACGGTTAAATGATTTCTGAGACATCATTTGATGGAAACCAAATCAGAGAGATCCCTGAGAACGGCAGCGACTCCATTCCAACCAACATTTAATTTGCCGATCTCATCCCGTTTATCTCAATACATAAAATAAATAATAATCAGGACAAAATGTGACGTTAAAATCTCAGTTTTCACCTAAAAGACATTTTAACGTATTGTTTTCTGAAGATGCTGGTCTGTTTTTATATATTAATATCACTAACACAAAAAACTGAGAAATGTTTGATTGCTCTGTTTTCCCTAAAATAATTTATTTTTTACTGTTTTCTAAAGATTTTAACTTTTTTATTTGAAGTTTAAACCTGGACTTCTTCACAACAAGGAAAAAGATTACCGTATTTTTCAGACTATAAGCCATTATCTCTTTCCCACGTTATAAGCCGGGCTAAAAGCTGCACCGGTGCTTATAGTCCAGAAAATACGGTACAAGGATCTGTTGGCACTTCCAAGATATATTTTACTCTGAAGTTTCTGTTTTAATCTGAAATAGTAATTTCATTTATTTACCTGGAACTTCTTTTAAAAATGGTAAAACAACTTTTAGTACGTCGACCTCAGTGAGTTTTACTGAGCTCTGGTAAAACGCATCCAAGATGGCGTCGCTCCAAACGCATCCAAGATGGCGTCGCTCCAAACGCATCCAAGATGGCGTCGTTCCAAAGTTTGGTTGCGTCTCATGGTTCAGCAGAACTTTAATCAAAGGAGAAAATTTGGCCCACAGCTGATCGCCACGCATCGACGGTTTGATGCGTTGCTTAGCAACAGACGGGGCGAGCTCACCTTAAATGTCTCAGGTAAAGTTAAACTGCATCTCATCAACAGTTAGCTGAAGAGTAAAACTGTGCAGAAGTTGACGACTGGCGTCAGACTTAATATTAAAATGTTTAAATATTTATAAGATTAGAGGATCAGTAAATGAATCTGTCTGTAGATTATTATAACAAATACAAACTTTCTGCATCAATCAGCAGGCTCCTGGCTCATATCTGACCTTTGACCTGTTCATTTTTGAAGCTGCTTATGCTGATTGGTTTTTAGTTTCTATTTAGTCATTAAAATGCTGCAAATAAGGTTATTTTGTTTTAAACCATGGTTCCATGTTAGAAATGTCAAATTAAAACCTGAACTTTCTCTGAAGCGGTTCTGAAGTCCTTTCTGGCGCCGGAGCATCAGAACCGACCCGTAATCTGGAAATAAAAACCACAGGAAGGATTTCAGTGTTGATCAGGACTGGCGCTCTCCTGATGAGGATCATGGCCGCCGTCATGTGACCAGAGGAAGAAAACATCACCGCCTTTCAGTTTGGTCCTCTGCAGATCTTTGGACTTTTAAACCCGACCTCTCTGCAGAAACGCCATGATTCATCCCTGCTGGACGCTCACACGCCTCCCGGTCTCTTCGCACAGTGACTTCAGTCGAAAACGGACAATTATTCTCAGCTGAGTTTTACACTCTAAATGTAAAGCTTTTTACAGGCCGTTAGGTCAGGGCCCGGTTTGAGTCCACTGATCTCTTAATCATTTTCGTGTGGCCTCATGTTCTTTCAGGGATCCAGGAAACAGGACGTCCAGTTACCATGGCAACTGCTTCCTGGTGGTTAGCCTGGCGTCTTTATGCTGACGAGGCCTCAGGGATTTCTGGGAAACCAAATATATTTTTTATATATTTTGGCCTTTAATTCACTTACTCTTTTTAATATCACTAAAAATAAAAATGAATAAAAACGTCAACCAAAGAGATTTTAGAATTCTCCTTATTTGTGTCTGCAAGAGGAAAATGGAGACCAAAGGTTCAGAGGTCAGAGCATGACAGTCTGACTGTGACGACCGTTTGGCCCTGCAGTGGAGGAAAAATGGCCGCTGACGGAGAGCTGCTGATTACTACGTTGGTTCAGCTTTAGAAACCCAACTCTGACACTCTGAGTCCCAAAACAGAGGAATATGACTGTATGAATAATATGGCTGTAAGTTAACGGTTTTTAATAGTTTCTACATGCTACAGGTTTACATGAGGAATAATGAAACAGGAGAGGAACAACGACCGGAGCGATTGCGTCTCATTTATTTAACCAACTAAGTTTTTACAGTGTACAATGTCAATGCTTTCTGCTACTTTCTTCCATAAATCTTGTTTGCTTTTCTCAGAAGTAATCAACTTAAACACATTACCACCCTTTACTTAGATGAAGAAAACTCAGGTAAATTGTGTTAATCAGGATTAATAAACTGTTTTTAAAGCTTTACTGCTCTGACTGACTTTAACTTAATGATCAAAAATACAATTACGAGACAAATATAGAGTTTAAAATGACATTGTTCCAACTTTAACCTCTGAATTCCCACGCTTATTGAACAAAGGATAGTTTCTCTACCTCACATTACTCTCAGCTACTTTATGAGTCACTAAATAAAATAAACTGAATATTATTCAAAGAAAAACAAAATAAAACTTTTATAACTGGAGTTAATCCTGAACCTTGGCTGATAAAAATCAATGCTGTTAGCAGGAAGGTGAACAGAAACCGCGTCACAGCGCCACCTACTGATAAAACAATAGGAAAACATCTTACAGAGAAGCTCTGGTGTTTTAATCGTGAACTGACCTGAGGCATAAGGAAACAGGAGAGCAATGACGACCGAGCGCTGCCTTTAGCATCCATCTTGCGTCTGAGTCAAACAGGAAGTGCGCCCAAAACCGACCCGGAAGCAACGCTCCCCAAACAAAGGTTCCGCCTCGCCACTTCTGTTCCCCCATTAACCTCAGGAAAGCATTAACACAGGCACATTAATACGCCCCAGTACAAACAAATTATAAATTGTTCATTTTTCTTAGGAAATAGAATGAAAAGTACATAATAATATTCTAAAATCACAAAACAACACAGCAAAAACTGAAGAGTTAAAATTTCAGGGTTAAAGGCTTCAGAGTTGACTTTAACTCATTAAGAGTTGTTTTAACCCTTGATGGCGTTAAATGGCACCCAGTGTTAAAGTTATTTCCAATAGTTGATTGCATCAGGGTTGATTTTATTCT